TCTCCTTTCTTTCTTCATTCGACGGTTCCAACTTTATCTCTCTACATTTAACGCGAAAGGGTTTTAATACTAAGAAAATCTTTCTGATAATGTGATAAGAATTTATGATCATATATTAAATCTTACTATTCGTAAGAGAGTAATCATAGATTATTATTTATAAAATGATTTATATTTTCACGTTTTTATTTCGAAAGTCTTTTTTATTTTTTTTATTTTTTTTTTTTTTTTTCAATGCAATTAAGAAGAGAATATTTCCCTCTGAATTACGTGTTTATATGTGTGTATGTTTAATTTTAATTAAATTTTTGTAAAAAAGAGAGATATATTTAGTAATAAATAAAAGAGAGAGAGTGTGTGTGAGAGAGAGAGAGAGAGAGAGAAATATGGAAAAATGTTAGAAATTTGTTTAAACGATTTAATAATTACGAATAAGATAAAAAAAAATATTTGATTAATAATTTATTCTTTCTTATAAATATATACGTAAAGTTTTAACAGAAAACGAATCTCTCTCTCTCTCTCTCTCTCCATCGTGTTGTATAATCTTAAAAAAAAAAAAAAATGTTACGATTGCCTATTATCAGTCGACGGATGCGATAACGCGATAACGAATCAATTCGCCATATTATTATCGCCCAAAATATATTTTCACGCTAACGTAGTAATATTTTTTTGTTCACAAATTGTAGTGAAAAAAAAATTATGTTTTTTTTTTATTTTAAAATACATTATATTATATTATATTTATAAATTATCTAATTTTTTAATAATTTTATTAATAAATTATAATAATATATATATAAATAATAATATAATATAATAATATAATATAATAATAAATAAATAATATAATAATAATATAATAAATAATATAATATAATTTAAATAAATAATTTAGATAATATTAGTTATTATAATTATTTATTATTTTATTAATTTAATTATCAAATTATTAGACATATATATATTTTATTATTTCAAATATATTTTTTTTTAGTGTTATCGATTAAGAAAACAAAAAAAAAAAGGAAATCAAAAAGAACGGTTATAAAAACATCGTAAATTTAAAAATAAAAATAGAAAAATAAAAAAATAAAAAAAAAATAACATAACTCATTAAGATTAGCTCCAAATGACCGAGGTAAAAAAAAAAAAAAGAAATGAGAAAATGAATGCTCGTTTATCTATCTTGTCTATTTCTATCTATTTCTATCTTTCTTCTTCTCATTCTCATTCTTTTAATAATTCTTTCAACATAGTGACATAGTGAAAATGGATAAAAATGAGAAACTAAGAAACTACTAATGTAAAAATATTGAAAGAAAAGGAAGTCAGTCGTTTCGTGATATTGGCAAAGTATAAAAAGAAACAAAAAATAAGAAATAAGAAGAAACACGAGTAACTATATCTTTTCGCGACATGCAGCAGCAAAACCCCATTTTTATTATTATTATTATTACCATTATTATTATTATTATTATTATTATTATTATTATTATTATTATTATTATTATTATTATTGTATCTCTTTCGCGTGTGTAAATTAATCAAAGTTAGTTCTTTTTCTATGAATAATTACCGTAATTAATACGAGGGTGGGTGGTGGGTGGTGTTACCATAAATCGATATTATTATATTAAAACATAAAAAAAAAACAAGTAGATAAAGCAGTATCTATTTATCTATTTCTTTTATGTTAAACAACTGTTTGAGAATTAGTTCATTTTTTGACTATTTGTTTTTTATTCTTTTTCTTTTTTTTTTGTTTTGTTTTGTTTTGCAAGTACACGAGCATAATAAAATTTGTATAATCGTTCGTCGTCATCGTCGTCGTCGTCGTCGTCGTCGTCGTCCTCGTGGTTGTGCATTCAATGAGAATTGCATTGCGTTTAACAATGACCAAGAACATAAACACGAGCTCAATTTTACTCATTCTTAAAACAACTCTCGTATCCGGTGACCACCATCATCACCACCATCACCATCACCGACCCTCGTCCAGTCAGGAAAAAAAAATATATATATATATATCTATATTAAGATATATTATTAAGATATTAAGAGACACAAATCAGTACACATGAAAGTTTGATGATGAATATCTTTTGAACGCTTAATTTAATCGCAAAAACATAAGACACCATTTTTATAGAGCAGTTAATTTCCTACAAAAATTTGTATTGTGCACTTTTTAATAGTCATTTATTGTCGAGTTATAAAATTCATAAGCAAAAATGAGATTTGTCTAAAAATCATCAAATTTAAATCTTTAATATCATTCAAATGGTGAGGTTTACGGAAAAAGTATAAGATACCTTTTTTTTAGAGCATTAAATTTCCTACAAAATTCGTCTTGAAAATTTTTCTGTACAATCAATAAATAATGAGGTATGAATTTTAATCTATTGGACTGAAAAAAAAAAATAAAAAAACTGCGATGCGGAGGATCTTCCTATTAAAATTAAGAGCTCATATTGGGTGAGAATTCTTTTAAGGTGTCTAGGAACCCATTTTTGCGTGGCACTTGAAAAAAAAAATAAGTAATTTTTTTGACCCACCCTAATATATATATTCACTGTTTCTTTAAATAATCTTATTTTATTTTCCAATGGGAAAAATCGATTTCTTTTTTCGTTGTTCTTTGGGGACTATGCAGATGGAAAAGAAACAAAAATAGAATAATATACGATAGAAAAAAAAGAAGTATGTAAAATTTACCAAAAGATTTCACCATTAGAAAAAAATAAAAATTAAAAAAAAAAAAAAAACTAAATTAATGAAAAATTTCTTTTTCTTACTTTACGAATAATTAATTAAGAAGCATAAAAAGAAAAGCAACAAAAAAAAAAAGAAAAAGAAAGAAATTAATAAGATATAAAATATGTAATTAAAACTTCGAATTGATAATTCAAAATGATAAAATATAATAAAAATGAAATTAGGTTTGGTTTTTTTTTTGGGTTTGTTTGTTTGTTTGTTTCTTTCTTTCTTTCTCTTTTCTTTCTTTTTTTGTCTAAGGTATTTTACCGATGACGATTACATAATCAAAGTAATGGAAGGTCGAACCGTTGTAGTAGTAGTAGTCATCGTCATCGTCATCGTCTTCGTCGTTCTCGTCGTCGTTAATTGTAGTAGTAGTCAACATTGTAAATTTGTACGAAAAAAAAAAAAAAAAAAACAGACGGTTGGGTTGATTGTAATCCCTCAAAATTTACACATGAAAAGATAATGCCGTGTGATGATTCGACTAATTTCCAGCTGCGTCGTATCGCGTACACGAGGTCACGAGTTTCTTTTTCCTTTTTTTTTTTCTTTTCTCTTCTACGATAACCAATTGCACGACCCCCACCTTTCTTCTTTATCATCATCATCATCATCATCATCATCATCATCATCTTCATCTTCGTCATAGTCTTAGTTTTCGTTTTTGGTTTCTTAGTTTCTTAGTTTTTCCCAATGTTCGTTCAAATAATCTTCCAAAAGTAAAAATTCCCTTTAACTTACCTGATATTATTGGACCACCCCCTTGCTTGCTTGCTTGTTTGCTTGTTTGCTTGATCCATCACTGATTCAAATTCCTCCTCGTTCTCTCGTTTTGTTCTTTCCCTTCTTTTCTTTCTCCTTTTCTTTTTTCTTTCTCTTCCATTTGAAAATGATCAAAAAAAAAAAAAAAAACAAATCGTCTGATGATTTTTTGATGATACATTGATATAGAAGTTTGAATCGAAATGGGTTTCTCTTATCTTGAAGTTTTATTTGAGAGAAAGAAAAAAAATCAAGAGAGAAGAAGATGAAGAAGAAGAAGAAGAAGAAGAAGAAGAAGAAGAAGAAGAAGAAGAAGAAGAAGAAGAAGAAGAAGAAGAANGATGAAGAAGAAGAAGAAGAAGAAGAAGAAGAAGAAGAAGAAGAAGAAGAAGAAGAAGAAGAAGAAGAAGAAGAATAAAAAAAAAAAATAATATTATAATAATGAATTCACACGAACGAGAAAACTACTTGACGAAGGTAGAAGAACGAGTGACGTGGACGGGTCTCAGTGTCCGCTCATATACTCTACCTGCGCCGATCTGACGTCACGGGTTTCGTCTCTTATCAGTAAGTCAGGAGCGCCAACACCTGTATAATACCGTATAGCACCTGTTAGTTGAAAAACCTTTGGAAACCATCGTTGTTGTACGCCGTATAACGCGCCTGCTCCACAGATCATCCACCCTAAATGTTTCTCTTTCTTTTTTTTTCTTTATATCTTCTTTCTCTCTCTCTCTCTCTCTCTCTCACTCTTTTTATCTCATTTCATTTCATTTCTTATCACAATGAAGATTTCAAATGTTTGATTTAAACAACATGGGAAAGAGTAAAGTGTATCATTTTAAAATAATGAAATAATATCATTGGGAGGGTATGTTGTGATGAATTTAGAAATGATTTTTGTCTGTTGAAAATATCTCTACGTGAAATGTTTTTTCAATTATTTTCACGACGATATCACCTAGCTGACTTTATACGATGCGTAACACCTTATCTCGTGTCCTAGTTACATCACTGCTGCTACCCTGATTACACATTCTATATATATATATATATATACACCTGTAAGATTAATCGTGATCATTTCAATGAGATCGTTCAATGATTTCTTATTTAATTCTTATAATTTTGATATGTTGATTCTAATATATTAAGAAATCTAAAGATACGACAAAATTTTTTTTCTTCAATTAAAAAATATTTTATTTATTATGGTTTATCATAAATAATTTATAGGATAAATCATTTTTATTAATTTCAAATAATTAATAAATATATATTTTGTTGTTTAACTTGATATTTATTTTAATTGAAATTATACAATGCATGCATGTACTATCGGGAATTACATATTTTGATTTAATTTTATTTAAATATAACGTGTACCATCGGTGGTACACGTGGCACGGAACGTATTAATTATCTTTTATTTTTCATTATATCGATTTTTAAGGAAGAAATGTGAATTTTGATTAGACGGTAATTGTCGAACGAGTAGCAGGTGTGGTCACTGGTTTATTTCTGAAAGAATATAATAAAATTTAATGAAATGTAATATTAATTTTAATTATATATCGATTATTATATAATTAATCTTACTTGCATGCTTCTTGAAAAGTTTTTCTAGCTTGATCTAACATTCGTTTGTATGTTTCTAAATCGGAAGCTTTGTCCTGTTGTACGGTATTTAATCTTGCTTTTAAAGCGAGACATTCCTCTTCGAGTAATTCGAGCCTTAAAATAAAATATTTCATCAATTTCTTCGAAATTAAAATGAATGAAATAAAATCTAATGAAAAATACTTGAAACGAATTTGTTCAGCATTTGCAAATTCATCGTTTGTTTTCAATCCTGACGTAGATTTGCAATTTTTCATTCTGTAACAACCACTGTCCACTTTTGACATTCCTGTTCTTTCATTTTCCAATTTTCGAAGTTTCAATTCTAATTTAGCCAATTTGTATCGTTCATTTCTCAATGATTCCTAATGGATAGAATATTTGTTTATAAAATATTTCAATTTTTTTTTCTTTTACAGAAAATAAAATAAATACAGCTAAACTATTAGCATCATTTCGTTCCTTGTCCAATCGTCTGTTCAACACGATCACCAATTCCAATAATCTTTCTCGTTCAGCTTCTGCAGCAATAGCTATTGTAACATATTCGTTAGGTTCGTTTAAATTTGTAATCATATTCGTAGAACTCGTACGATAATTGTTAATAACATTTCGATCTTCCGTATGTGTAATAACTCGTTGTGATTTTTGATCTTCCGGTATTATCAGACCATTTCTAAAACGTTCTTAAATGTTCATTTGATCGAAGATAAATCAGAGTTAAAAAAAAAAAAAAAACAAAAACAAAAACTTAATCCTTATTTCAAACCTTAATTTGTCTATTTCAATTTCACGTTCGTCGAGTTTTCTCGTCAAACGATCGATTTGTATTTGTGCAGCTTGTAAATCATTTTTAACGTTAATACATTCACGTTCAATTTTGTCTTCTTTATTTTTAATATCTATTTCACGTTCTTGATATTTATTTTCAACGGATTTCAATCGATTCTAATGAAAAAGAAGGAAATTTTATAAATTAATGAATAATATGATGATAATTGATTAAAAAAAAAAAACAAACTAACATTAAGGGTTTCAATCAAATGATCGTCGTGAGTTCTTTTTTCGTTCAACAGTGTTACGTTTGCTTTGGACACGTTCAATTCATTTTCGAGTACTTTAATTCTAGCTTTGGAAGCTTCGAGCTTTCTTTTATATGTTTCCAATGAAACTTCCGCTTGCCTGAGTTCTTTTGCTGAATTTTCGATTTGTTGTCGCCTTTCTTTCTCAGCGTTCCGAAGATTTGCAAGATTCTTACGTTCCAAGGATACTATTTTATTTTATTCAATATCTTTTACATAATGGTAAAAGGAATATATGTGTGTGTCTGTGTATGTGTGTGTGTGTAAAAATAGTAAAAGTATAGGGTGTATTTTACCAAAGGATCCTTTCAAATTTCCATCATATTCCGATAACTTAGTTTGCAATTCAACAATCTTTTGTTGAAGTATTCGAATTTGTTCAGCTCTTCCACGCCAACCACCCAATTGGGATGATAATCCAGTTACCGTTACGTTATCACCAACTTCGCTGGACAATAACTAATACTTATATTATTTCAAAAATCAATGTTCATCCTTTAAATAATAATCTTTACCTTTTGAGCTTTGTTAAATTCTTGTTTGAGACTCGTGTAAGCGTTTTTAGACTCGTACAGCTTTGTTTTCACTTGTTGCAACTTATCCGTTAATATTTTCATCTTATCCTCGTTATCCTTAGATAAAGATCGAACATCTCCGGTACCTTTGTCAAGGATACACTATCCTTGGATCTCGATTATGTTATTTGCAATAAGGATATTTAAAAATTTGTTAAGATTTTGTTCGATGATACGAATAAAACACTCACTGTTATCAGATTCCGTAGATTTGTTCGTAAGATTTGTTATCTCATGTTTTAAATTATTCAATTCGACAATTTTGCTTGCTAAATTATCTTCCAAATGTTTACACTTAGTTTTGAGTATCTCGATTTCGGCAGACTGTTCTTTACATTTCTTGCTCAATTCTGTTATATTGATAGTTGTTGTTGTTGCTATTGCCATTTCGTTAGATTTATCCAAATTTATTTTAGGCAATTGCGATTTAATAATATTTTTCTCAGTTATTCGTAGCTTTTCTTCGGTCTCTTCTAACGTACGACGTAAACAACCATTCTCCGCAGTCAAATCCTATTTTACGATAAATTTGAGTAGTAATCTCATTTCAGATAACTCGTCGTATTTCAGAGCTACCAAAAATATACATCTATCTGGTATACAACGTGTTCTCGTTTGTTGAGTTGCAACTAGTATCCAGAGTGAATAACGTTTAAGTGAAATGAATATTATTATTTAATATACTTACTCGAATACGATCGCGCAGGTATGTGTTCAATTCGTTGGGAAATATCATTGACTCTGGTAATTTTTCCTTTGAAATGATTTTATTTGATTTTAATTATTTACGAATGAACAATATTGCAACAATTAAACAATACAATTGATAATTGTAATGTACTATAATTAATTTATTTATTAACTAAGTACAATGTATTATTATATCAGTCAATCTATTGCCACTCGTATATATATGGAGTATTTATTTTTTGTTTTAATCAATTTTAAAAAAAATTCATTACCTCGATCATTTCCTTTGACAATTTCACAATATCTTTAAAATCATAACTAGAGATCAAATCATTTTTATGATTTATATTATTAGTTTCTTTTATATCGGACATATTACAATATGAAGAATTTTTGTATTATGTATGTATTATCAACGATGACGATTATAATCGTGATTATTTTCTTAGAATATTTTTTAATGAACATGGAATGCTATCGCGTACAATAATATAGTTGATCGTTTTAAATTTAATAAGATTTAAAATCAATATTCATTCGGTTGCATTTAAATGTTATGCTTCTTTTAAACATCGTTTCGTTTGGTTTTACACAAATTGACATATGTCACAATATATTTATGTTTTGTTTTTTATTTATTTATTTATTCTTTTTTCTAAGTATAAAATTAGAAACGTTCAATTCGATAAAAAAACAAATCGGACATGATAAGTTTAAATATATATGTATATATATATATATATGATTGTTAATAATAAAAATTAATGGGAAATGAAAAATTAAGTTTAACAGGTTGTTTGTTATTCAATACAATTAATTGTATTGTTTTTTTTTCGTTTCTAATATAAAATAACTAAGTCATCGATGACTCTGTATTTTTTTTAAATCCTTTTTTAAACTTCTTGTCCGTTTTTTTGTGACTTCCAGCTAATTTTCCTTGATCTCTCAGAGCAGCTAATTTTTTGTTTTTAGCTGCGATGATTTGTTTAGCATTCTCGCGTTTACTATCAGTGGTGTATTGTACGGTCAACATTCGGTTTTGAAGAACTGAACGATTCAATGAGAGTCCTCTCTGTAAAAACAATGGTTAAAATAATATATTTTATTGAAACAAGAAAAGGATAGAATAAATGTGATTGTATTATCAAAGATTTTACCTCATAATCTTCTTGATTTTCGAGTTCGATGTAACAAAATCCTCGAGACTGATTAGAGCCTACTTTTTTAGGTATTCTCACATCAGCTACCGAACTAACTTTTGTTAGAAAATGATTTCTAATTTCATTCGCAGTAGCACTAGAAAAAGAAAAGAAGAAAAAAATGTATTTAATTTTTACAAACAGTGTAATAAGTAAATTAATAAATAATATTCATTATAATTGTAAATAATTGTGTGATTTTTACGTGTATGGTAGATTTGCAACGTAAAGAACGAATCTCTTTTTCTTGGGTGGTTGATTTTTGTTGTTATTTGTAGCTTCGTTTTTCTTTAATTTTTTATCTGCTACTTTCTCTTTGCCTTCTTTTCCTTTTCCTTTTGTTTTTACATTTTCATTAACAGTTTCATTATCCTCTTCCTCTTCGTCTTCATCTTTTTCATCATCATCATCATCGCCTTCTTCTTCTTCTTCTTCTTCTTCTTGCTCATCTTCCTCTTCTTCTTCTTCCGCTTTCTCATCATCATCATCTTCATCGTCATCGTCATCCTCATCATCATCCTCATCATCATCCTCTTTTACTTGTTTCACTTTATTAAGTGGCTTTTTGGATTTTACTTGAAGTTTATTCTTTTTATTTTTATTTGACTCTTTCACTTCTTTATCTTCTTCTTCTTCTTCTTCTTCTTCATCATCTTCATCTTCATCTTCGTCTTCATCTTCAACCTCATCTTCAACCTCATCTTCGACCTCATTCTCATCCTCATCTTTTTGTTGTTTAACAATTTTCTGTTCCTTAGATTTCTTTTTATTGGCAGATTTAGCTGGCTGCAATTTTGTATCTTTTACAACTTTATCAACTTTCTTCTTACCTTTGTTATTAGCAACACTCTGTGTAATATTATCTTTAATTGTGAGTTTATTGCTAGTAGCATCGTTTGATTTGTCAACAGTTTCATTTTTCAATACTTCCAATATTTTGTTTAAACCAGCTAACTTTTTCTTGGCAGTTTTAGATAAAGTTTCTCTACTTTTTAATTCTTTAATTTTTTCTTTAACTTGTTCCAAAGTTAATTTAGGTTTAGCGTTTGTTTTAACAGTAGAGGGTGACTTATTCTTTTCTTTGTTCGCTTTCTTTGATATACTCTGTACAGTTGATCCATCATCACCATTTTGACTTTCTTTGTTATCATCATTAACTTTGGGAGATGTTACGTTCTTTTTATTTTTAATCTTATCCTTTTTAGGTTTATTCACGTTAACCTTATTTTGTGCTTTTTGAGGTTTTGCATTTGTATCAGCAACCACGTGTAGTTTTTGTTTCTTTGGAGGTGTCGATGACAAATCCTTATTACCATCTTCTTTCTCAGATTTTTCTACCACAACGGTATTTTCATTCAAAGGCCTTTTCTTTAATTTTTTCGTCATGTTTGTTTACTTGTTTATTTATTTATAACGAATACAATCGTTTATAGAAGTTTCTAGAAATATAATAGAGATAAGATATTTTTAGCAATAGCATTTAGATAAATTTCTTATTAAAATATTCAAATATAGAAAATTATGTTAAATTATATATATATAAACAAATTAAAACGTATTAATAATATTAATATTTTATTAAAAATAGTAAAAGTATATGAAAAAAAAGAAACACCGCATTCTATTAAATAGTAAATTAATTTAATATATATATATATATATATATATAGTTTTATATATATATATACATAAATATTATTATATTCGTTTGAAATATGATTAAATATGTAATATAAATTATTTTGATTAATAATAAACTATTCATTTTATTCATAAATATAGAAAAAAAAAACCAACTTACCTATACAAAGTATATCGTCACAAGATACTAAGTAGCACCTTTTAGTATGTTGAGGTTAACCGGAAAATGTGGTATTACTACTAGCGCCATCATTAGACAATTCAAAAAGAATATTGTTTCCGTTTGCGCATGTGCAGTAAATTTTGCGTACGCGGCATTTGTACGCACGTGTTTTCTTGAATGGCGGGAACGTAAACATTTGAATATTTAAATCTCATTAATAAATACGTTTCATTCATTTATGCGTTATTATCATTTCATTCATTATTTTTTTTTTCTTTTTATTTTTTTTTTTAACACATAAAGATATACGATTTTATTATATATATATATATATATATATATAATATTTAATTATAAGTTTAATTAATATAAATTTATTTATTATTTAATTGAATTTCATGAAATGAAAGGTTATGTTTATAGAATATTCTTATTTTTTTTTTTTTTTAATTTTTATTTAGTATTAAAATTATTGGAAAATAAATTGGTATATCTTGCATGTAATAAAAACAAATATTTTATATTATAATACGTCAATTATTTGAATCATAAAATGATAATATATAAATAATATTTAAATAATTGAAAAAATTGTAAAAAAAAAAAAATAAAAAAAAAATAATCTAATATTTTATAAAATACGTTTATAATAAGAGAATATTCGATGTTACATGAAAACATTTGATATACACATATGCTAATAGAATAACGAAGCACTTATGTGTTTTAATCTAATTTGAAACATATATATATAAATAGATTTGACTATGTAAATTCATGGATTTTAATATATTCGTCCACTCAACTAACATAAAGTTATTATATTTTTTTTCTGCATAGTAGAATGAGATGATAAGGACAAAAAAATCTGCATTACTTCATTTCATCTAATCTGTTTTTGTTTCCTGAAATTTTATACTCGTCTTCTTCCCACATTTCACATTTTATTCCTGTGAATTATTCCGAGCATTTAGGATTTCCAAATTGACCATTATCATCATCATCATCATCATCATCATCATCATCATCATCATCATCATCATCATCATCATCATCATCATCATCATCA